GATGGACGCCATGATGAATGCAACTTGGCAGTGCTCGTTAACCATAGCTTCAATATCTAAAGTATTTTACCGAAAATATGCAAATCCCGTTGGAAATGATTTCTTGAGAGTTATATAACAAAGCAAAAGAGTGGAGGGCATGTATTGTATCCAACGTAACTTTTATTTTTCTTTGGTTTTAAAAATAAACTTATCATATCAATTGTTTGATAAAATAATTCTTATTTGAAGTCAAATTTTATTGTTTTTTTATTGATAACTACTTGTTATTTGTACAGGAATAAACGTAAGATAACTACATTATTTTGCAATAGAACTAACGATAGAAAAACCACGACCTATCGACCTTAATTAATCGTTGATTTTTGTTGTAAAATCAAACTCTAAAAAATACTCATCAAGAACTACACTGTTGTGACAACAATAACATAAACATTTAAGTTGCAAATGGAAGAAAATTTCATATTTACTACACGAGGTTCACGTCATTTTTGCTCTCAGGGAAGCAGTGTCTTCGTAACTTTTTTCCGTATATATCGCTTAATCATAACATCGAGAATAAAATTAATAAAAAATAACCTGCATTTGGTTCGGAAATATACTTGGGTATTTGTCCGCGGGCATTATCTGTTCCGCAAAGCTCACAGTTTTACTCGAACTACACTCTCGGAAAAATGTTCGCGTCTCAGGCAAATATCCAAGCATATTTTAACGCCAAGTGGAGGCTTTTGTTTATATATGCTCACGAGAATGGCTCATGATTGAGTCTGAAACTAAGCTTGCATCTAAAAAGTAATTCAAATAAATTTTAGGGAAACCCTCAACATTTTATTAAGTTTTGCGATCTATAGGAAGAATGTTGGAATTCCTTAGTTCACGAGTAATCAAGACGGCAGGTGATAATGCCCTTTTGTAAGAATCGTGCCGTTATTTGCTCACACGTGGAAAATTTGCTGGGCTGTGCACCCTTAAGTTCCCCTGACATGAGCAAGATTGCATCATGTTTTACAAATTTCTAAAAACGAAACTCGTGCAAAAGTGCAACAATCACTGCACGTATCTGATTATATCGCAGATCGGTTTCATTGA